ACAGCTGAGTTCCAAATAAAGCTGTTCTCATTCCTATATTTTTCTTTTTCTTTTGTGAGACAAAGGAAACAAGCATGACAAACGCACCATACACGAGTTGGCCATGCAACAGCTGTGACTTTTCATTGAACTTGAGGCTACGACAGAAGTCAGAGAACATTTCACAATAAGAAAGAAAGGAGTTCTTTTAGTTTTTCTGTTTTCTGATCTGCAGGCTGAACTTTTGACTTTGTTAAGGGGTTAAATAGAAACTTGGATTTCTTTTGGAGTTGCACTTTTGACTTAAATGAGCAGCCCTCTTTTTTTCTTTTTCTTCTTTTTAATTGCTGTGTTTGCCAGTTCAAGCCTACAATTTTGCACCTGAATGTGTAAATATTTGTTTGCATTTTAAACTGTGCTGCATTCAGAAATTACCAACATGTTATCAAGATAAAATAAACTTCAAACAAATGGTGGTTTTGGTTTTTGGAGGAAAATTAATCATTGAGATTATTTTACAGACTAATTGTTAAGGTTGATTGATAGAAAATGAGCCATTAGTGGCAGCAAGATTACTTACAAACACTCCACACAGGAAACACATAACTCTGGTCTGGAATTACACCGACTCCCCATTCACTACAGAATTCAGATTATTTTTAAATCCATACACGGTCTGGCTTCACTTGACATCGCTGAACTTTTGTTACCTTATTCTACACCTCGACTCCTCAGACCTGATAATAAGTTGCTGTTAACGGACCTCCAGTCCGAGCTTAAAATCAGAACAGCTCCGTCAGTTTTTCACTTTAGAAAGCTTTTAAAAAGACAGACAAGCATTTGAACAGCATTTTATTCCTTTTCTGATGCTCTTAAATCTCTTATTAAAGCTACACTGTCATACTAATATTTTCTTTTAATATTTTGTCAAGTTTATTATTATTATTTGTATTGTTATTATTGTTCTTACTGTTATTACTCAGTGCAGCCATCTTTCCAGTTTACCTCAGTATTGTCCATTAGTGGATTTATTGTCCTGTGCGCGTTTGTCATTATTGTTTCAAGAAACGTGAGAAGAAGTACTTAATGGCAGTGTGTGTGCACAGAGTAGAATGTATTGTACCAAATGCGAGGCATACCTTCTCATTTGACCTTTGAGCTTCCCTTGACTGCTCATAGCTCAAACAATGCAAACTGACATCTGAGCCCTCACCTGTATTGTGGCGTTTAAAAAAAAAAAAAAAAAAAGGAAGAATGAAGTGGGACGGGGGGATTACGAATGTTAAAAAATTCAGTCTATTCTGCTCACAAATCTTCTGTCCTGATCCTTCACTCCGCAGGAGCACTTGTCAGCTGCTCAATTACTGTCCAGTCTAATTATACTGTATTAACACCAAGGAGGCGAGAAGGGAAGGAGGCAGGAACACGGGAAAATTGAGTGATGTTTTACGGCGCGAGGGAAAAAGAGGGACATAGTAATTGGAAGATTTTTAACAGATTTTTATAAATTTACTGAGTGGAGAATAGGCAAAATAAGAGAAGCGGGGTATATTTGGCTTGACAGGGTGTAGATATTAAGTAATTAAAACCCAATGCGTAGTGAGAAATAACAATTGTACATATCAAAAGATTAAGATTTGTTTGGAGGACAAATCAGATGTTCATCACAAAGCTTTGAATTTTATTCTCATTAAGGCTTTTATTGTGGTTAATATGAAAACAAGAGCGTGGATATTAGGCCTAGTTGCTGTTCTAAATCGAATTACACAATAACATTAAATAATGAGTCCTCTGTCAGGTTTTTTCAGTTGTTTGGCCCAGAATGAGCGGCACGCACCGTGGTGACGAGTGTAGTCATCGGGGTGAAGACATACACACACTCACACACTGTTTTTACCCCCCCCATGGATATGTGTTTGCATTGGTCTGTATAGTATGCGTATGTTGGTATGTGTTTAAAGATGAGCGCTCACACACACACACACACTCTCACAGCGAGTTGCACACATTCCAGCGTCATGGTCAAACGACTTGTCTTTCACACAGTTCATTCCTTAAAGCAGTCTGTCCTGCTGGAACTGACAGCATATGGAAAACCTGTCTAAATGAGTCCACACATCAATTACATCAACGCATTCTCACCTCGCTCGGCTCCCTCTGTCGCCTCACTTTGCTTTTGCTCTGTCTCTCTTTCCCACATCTCTGCATTCATCACTTCCCTGCCCTTTTCTTTTCATCCGTCCTCTGATCATTCCAGCCTCTGCTCCTTAAGGAGCTTCTGTTTCGCTTTTTTGTCGCGGTGAAAAGTGTCACTGAAGAGCCTGTAGCTTAGAATAAAGGCACAATTTTTATATAGATCCGTGGATATGATGACACACACCGGGGCACTACAGAAAGTTATCAACACAGATTTTGCTGCTCTCTTTATGCTGACTTTACGATATGTATCAGCAGGCTGGTAGACATGTGTTATGTTAATTAGACAATGATGTACAAACCAGGAGGTCTCTTTCAGCTACAAAATCAAAGGTTTTCTTATACACTAAAACATTACAGATTGAATTATAATACGATGAGACTGGGTTTTACAACTTTTCACTTCATTCCGGCAAAAGTTGAAACAGGTTGAACCTTTTTTTGTCGGAGCTCTCACCTTCCTTTGAATGAAACTGTCGTAGGATACTAATGCAACAGCTTCATTCAAATGAATAAGAAGGCTGCTTTTTTTCACCCCATGCAGAACACAAGCAGGATGTTGTAGGTTTTCTGAGTGATGTTCCAAATCAGTAGAGTGGAAAGTATATTTCAAGGCAATTAATGGATTAACAGGATTTTTTTTTTATTTGACAAAATGATCAAATACTTCGTACTTTAATTTGCTATATTAGCCCAGGTTAGCATTCCCGTTTGGCTGTTTATCTTTAAAATGAGAGTATGCAGGATCATAGAAACAGAGGGATCTAGAGAAAAGTTGATTTCCCTCTGTGTTCATTCAGGTTTGGCCTCCTGTTTTATTGAAACATTTTTTGATTTTAACCTTTTGAACCACTTTTCCGCCACTTGTGCTAAATGCTCTCTAGCTCCAGCAGCGTCCGCCTATCCAATGGCACGAGTTGTATAAAGGAACATATTAAGACAAGCAGGCAGGTCATCCAGTCATTTCATGCAATTGAATGCAGTGTTTGAATGGACTTTTTACAGGCCTGTGTCTTTCACAGGTAGCATACGTATTTCTTTTTAATATGAGAGTACTTGATTGACTGATTGCTGTCAGGATGTAGAAGCTTTATTGCTAATATAACCCAAAAATCTTCTGTGATATGTTGCAAACTCTGGTTTAAATGATTTCTCAATAGTTGAATTTGACAATATGCATTAAACTGATGTAGCACTACAGCATTTATTTATATCATCCAATGAAATAGAGCAACCTGGGTATTTGCAGAAGAGGTTTGTGGTTATAGGACAATTGGTCCTTTCACAAAAAATACATTTCTGAAACTGTGCTACTTCATGCTTTTATTTCGAATGATTCAAATCCACGCTGCCATTTTTGCCACAGTTTTACCATTGTGAAGCTCAGCTGTTTATCTGTTAGACATTTGCTGTGCTATATCTGTGACCTTTGTGTTAGGAGGCAGTTTTCTCTTAGACTTAAACTGGTGCGTTTTGTACAATTCTGTGTCAAAAATATTTTTAAACGTATAGAATCTTTAAAAGGCAGAAGTAAATTTGATGTTGTGCCTGATAGAATGAGCCTATGTCTACTTTTGGTTCGGTCCTTACATTTTATTGTAGATCTCTCAGCAATGAACATTTCTTCAAGCTCTTGTGTGGTAAATAAACGACTCTACACTCAAAACATGCAACTGGGATTGCTAAAACAAACAAACAAACAAAAACACTCTGACTCGAAGACTTTTATAGAATGAAAAATGCCTAATTTTGTCAAAAGTTAGATTTATAGTCAAGAATGATGACAGGAGTTGGTTTACACCTGTACATTTAATCTGAATCGGCATTAATTCCTCCTTCATATTCTTATTTTCCCACTTTTTTGCCCCCCGTCCTAAACAGGCAGCAGACAGCCTAGTCATTTCGTCTGCATAAAAGCTTAGCAGCACAATTCACTGCGTATGTGCTTAAGCCAAGATTTTGGGTGTGTGGTTACGAGTGTGTGTTTGTGGCGAGACCTTGACCTTGACTGCAGTCCCTAATGGAGGAGGCTGTTCTGTGAATGACTCGAACTCCCCCCGCCGTACAGCGGTATGTAGCAGCCCATAAAGCATGCTTACGTCCCACTCTGGTTTCAGGGAGTGGAGGCCCGAACCCCGCCTCTTCCTCACACTCTGAAATAGCCACGTCCTTGTCCCCACACGGAGCACAGTGTGAGTCGGGTGTGTATATATGCGGCCGTGGTTGATTGAGGAGCAGATTGCTGGTGACAGGTCACACTGCGTTCCGTCCCTCCGACCCCCCAGATTAGCGACCCGAGGCCCCCACGCTGCCCTCCCCTCCTCTGGGCCCCCACCTGTTAGGATCCCTCTGCTGCTCCGAGCTTTCCCTCTCTTACACACACACACACACACACACACACACACACAGTAGACAACCTGCATTAACAGAATTCTCTTATTTCTCCGTCACTCACCCCGCAGGTTATAAAGGCCATTACGAGTCGCTGAGGTGCATGCGTGCGTTTGAGTGTGTGTTGCCTGGCTAGGAATGTGTGTGGGTTGAAAAGACGCCTGTCACAGCATGCTCTCATAATTGCCCTCTTAGCCAATTATCCCCCATTTAAAAGCAAATCACCTGCTCTGCTCCCATGTCCACACAAATGCGCGTACTCACACCACACACACACACACACACACACACACACATGCACATACACGCGATAAATAACAGAGAAACTTAATATTTGATAATTGTTTGTTCCTTAGTGATACGTTTGTTTATTGTGCTGTATTGCTTTTCTCTGTCGGCACCATTCACACGTTTGTGTCTTCTCCTTTCTTCAGATTCTGATGCACACCAAAGACATGGTTCAGAAGGTGGGTTATTAAGTAATTGTTGTGCAGATCTTATAAATGTAACACAAGAAAATGTTTAAAAGACAAATAAATGTGGATTAGAGCTGGACAAAATGGCCTAAAATGTATATCGGAATAAACTGTTAAAGTCCTCTTTTGTTTCTTCTAATTTCTTGCTCCCGGTGGTAAAGATTCTTACCTAAGTGTAGGCAAATTGAATTGCTAAACTTTGAGTTAAATGTCATTAATTTTAATAGCTGTTATCAATGTAATGGCATTAATGTAAGTTGTGTTTTAGAAAATTACATAATTCAGTGTTCCTAAGTTATTAATTAATTTTTTGTCCTTTGTCTTTTTCTTTATTTGTGGGTGACTCAGATGAATCTGGAAGTCATCTATGGAGATACTGACTCCATCATGATCAACACCAACAGCAAGTCTCTGGAGGAGGTCTTCAAACTCGGCAATAAGGTTTGTTTTATATAATTCTGTATTTACAGCAGTGAGATGTTATCTGCTTCCTTTTCGGAGGTTTAATTTTCATTGTATGTGTGTTTTATTTCCAGGTGAAGGCAGAGGTAAACAAGCTGTACAAACTGCTGGAGATCGACATTGACGGCGTGTTCAAGTCACTTTTACTGCTGAAGAAGAAGAAATATGCAGCCCTGGTAGTGGAGCATCACGGGGAAGGGAGATACAGCGTCAAGCAGGAGCTCAAAGGCTTGGACATTGTCCGCAGAGATTGGTGTGATCTGGCCAAGGAATGTGGCAAGTACGTTGGATGAACCCAATGCAACTGCAATGGCTTTTGGCCATCTTACAATTAGTGTCCCACTGGAATGTTAACATACAAATCACTTCAAGGCACTCAGAGGGTGTTCCTCTTTAATCATCTGAAGTCTTTGTTTTGGATGATATAATGTGTTCCGCTCTTCCCTTCTCTTCTTCCAGCTATGTGATTGGTCAGATTTTGTCTGACCAGAGTCGCGATGTGATTGTGGAGAACATCCAGAAACACCTGGTGGATGTGGGAGAGAAGGTAGCTGATGGAGCCATACCACTCAACAAGTATGAGATACACAAGGTGAGAATGTGACTGCATCTCTGTATTTCTGTGTTTACATAAATAAGACAGGCTTAAGACTTGTCTGTGGAAGCTGTGTTGGGAAGCCAGTTGTCTTCAGGAATTGCTGCACTTAGTGAGTACAGTGTACACAATGTAAGACTGATGAACAAGGTAGTGTGAGAAATGTGCAGGAACATTTTTTTGTGTTTCTCTTTCAAACTATGGGAGTGTTTATGCTTTATTCTGTGTAAGCACTTTTTTTTTTTTATTGCTGTCCATTCATAATTACTGTCTTATCTTCACTTCCCCACTCTCTTCCTCTCCTCCAGGCACTGACAAAGGATCCTCAGGACTATCCAGATAAGAAGAGTCTCCCTCATGTCCACGTGGCTCTGTGGATCAACTCTCAGGGTGGCCGTAGGGTCAAAGCTGGAGATACAATCTCTTACCTCATCTGCAAGGTGTGTTCATACAAGAGAGACATAAATATCCTGGCTTTCCAGATACTCATCATTTTTTTTGTAGGTTTTTCACAGTTGCGATATATAACCACAGTGTAACTGTAGAAATCCATCTCCTTTTACTTTTAGGACGGCTCAACGCTGGCAGCCAGTCAGAGAGCTTACGCTCTAGAGCAGCTTCAGAAGCAGGAGGGTCTCACTCTGGATGCACAGTACTATCTGGCCCAGCAGATCCACCCTGTGGTGTCTCGCATCTGTGACCCCATCGAGGGCATTGACGGTGTGCTCATAGCCACATGGCTGGGTAAGTTAATAACAGGGTATGGTAGGCTGCAGAAGATTGTACATTACAATTTGAAGAATGTCAGGTTTGCGGTAGAAAAATAGCAAATTACACAAATTAGTGGGGAAAAAAAAGTCAAAAGTTCAAGTGAGAGTTGTTAATTAAAATGAAACCGGGGAAGTGTTTTAATTAGTGTTGTTGACATCACTTTGAATAACATTATTGTTAAACGATCACAATTTTCATTTGCATTTTTACGATAATGCAATACTCCTATTATTTTATAAATAACCGTTGACCATGAGGTATTTTTGGGGCACAGTTTACTTTGAGTGTTAGTGCCAATTCCCTTTGCAATAAAATGACTTCCTGTTTAGCAGTCTGTTGACAGCTGAAACTGTTAAACCCAGAAAACCTTTCACACCTAAAGCCACAATAGCCTATTAAAAGTGCAAAATAGATGTTTCATTGTTTAATAGCTGTAAAACTGTGGTTTGGGTTGGAGTCCCTATGTGTAGACCTGTCTGTCGATGAGCATTTGTTCTAATCACTCTAGATTTATGTGAAATAGTCAGAATGAATGATATTGTCTGTCTCAGGTCTGGACCCGAGTCAGTTCAGAGCTCAGCAACAGCACCAGAGGGAGGAGGAGGCTGATGGCATGCTGGGAGCACCCGTCCAGCTGACTGATGAGGAGCGCTATAAAGACTGTGAGAGGTTTACTTTCACCTGTCCTCAGTGTGGCACTGACAACATCTACGACAGCGTCTTCGAAGGAGCTGTGAGTAGATGTCTACACGCACACATAATTAGCAATCAAAACGTCCTCTGTTCTTCTTCTGGTGTGTTTTTACAGGACACCAAATTATCACGTTCATTTCAGTTCTTGTTTGGACCAGAGAGTTGCCTTGGAAATATTATGTAATCTAATTAGCTTAAGCTGATTCACAGTAACAGGTTGTGGAGTCAGAAATGTGTGTGTGTGTGTGTGTGTGTGTCTGTGTGTGTAGAACACACACAAAGAACCTCACAGAGAGATGGAGAAGATCAAAAATAAGCGAAGGCTTTTATCACTAATGGTGTGTTTCACTGGTGTAATGCATTAATCGGAGACATGAATAAAGAGTATGACAGTGGGAGATTGGTGTTTCCAAAGGCATTTCAGTAAAACTTCCTGTGAAGGATTCATGCTTTAGTCATCCTCCATATTGTGTCTCCGTCTGTATTTTTAGACAGCTGCCTGGCTCCAATACGGACTCTGTTTTCATTGGCATAGTTTGGACTGCACAACTTGAAAAGCCTTTCCTTAACCCCTGCCGCTCTGCGGACACACACACATGCACACTGGTCTCCTACCATTTGTCAGGCCAAGGTCGTGTGTGTGTGTGTGTGTGTTATCAGCGTCTAATGAGGAGCAGGGCACGCAGCTTTTTCTTGTCTGGAAGACACTAATAAAACTGACAAGCCTCTGTCCTCGACTGGAGGAGAGGACTTGCATTAAATTATAAAAGGAATATTACACAACACTCCTTAAAAGGATGATATCATTACACACCTCAGCAGTTTCTCTGGTATGTTTTGCTGAGGTGCATTCACACTTGCACAACAAACAGTATATTTAGTTGGAATGCTTGTATGTATAGAAAAAGAAACAACCTGCTTTTAACAGAATATGATCTTGAATTATTGGTTAGCTGTCTTTTAGGAACAATGTGAAACTTCAGACTATACACATCCTCTAATTACTCGTGTTAATTTTCCACCATGTGTCAGAAGCCGGTATGCGCACACACACATACACACACACAGAGTAACTGATAAGACAGTAAGTTAATTAAGGTGGCGAACATGGTCTAACAGCTCAGTGAGAGGGGAGGACAGATGGGCCTTGACTCCACCACTGAAACAGAGCCAGCGATGGTAGGAGGAGGCGGTGATGGATGATGGAGGACAGACAGAGGAGGAAAGTTGTTTGATGGGGGTAGCGGGAGAGAGGGATGAAAAGATTAAGTGTGGATAGAAAAAATCTGGATGGAGCTGCAGGGATTTCCACAAGTTCATTCTTAATAGAGTGTTACGTATCCGCCACGGGCAGTTAAATCAGCAAACTGTGAAAGCTGCACATTATGATACGCAGACTTCGACGAAAAGAGTCTGGTTAGACAGTTGACATCGTAAACCTTTTGAAATTGTTTTACAGTTTTGCAGAAGTCTATTTAAGGTGCAGTGATGAGGCAGTAAAAGTGACAGTTGGTTGGGGTGTAGACAAACACTGAGAGCAGCGAGGAGTGTTTAAAAGATACGATCCGTGTATTGCGATATTTGAACTTTTCTCATAAGTCTCACAGAAACACGGGACGCAAAGTACTTTGAATGTTTTCATTTAATTGCTGAGTGATAAAATATCTGTCAAGCAAGTGGTGTGTAATTTTAATAAATACAACTTGTTTGGGTGGGAGAGTTTGCTTGTCAAAATGAAGTTTGGAATGAAACAAGAGAGATAAAGAGCAGAAGGGGGGGACGATTCTGGAGAGAGAAGAAGGGAGGTTGCTTTCATCCAGAGCACACTGAAAAAAATAAAACAAGAAGAGGAGGATAGACTGAGATGAGGAGGGTTAATGTGTGTAGCCGCCTACAGCATGAGGGAAATGAGTTGATTGAAGCAAAAAGGAATGATATAGAGAAGTCTTGTGGCTGACTGGGTGGGGGGTGTCACTTGCAGATTTTTGTGCCACCAAGTTCCCTGCAGAAACCTTTTTTTTTTTTTTTTCCACCGCTGTCAACGCAACGGGTAAATGGAGCTCAGGTTTAAAGAAGCAATGCACTGTGGCTACTTCTTTTATTGCATTAACTATAAGCCTTGCTGTCAAGGATACTGGGGTCACGGTGACCTGTTTTCTTCAGGCTACAATAAAGTTAAAATTTACTAGGCACAGGGGTGCTTTAAGCTCTTACACCTTCCGCGTTTGACATGCTCTTTGTGGAGGCAATGGCCAAGTTCCCATTACATAACTGCTTCAGAATGACATCGTTTATATTTATTCACAGAAAGATCAGATCACTTTATCAGATGCCCTAAATCAGGGGACATTCCAAATTCCTGCTTTCTGTTTTATTTACTTATTTTGACAGTAAAAATAGCTTGGCTTTAGTTGAAGACGTCGAATGCGTCTATGTATTGAAGAGTAATTTTTCTGGGACGCCGACACGTTTTCTCTTTTTCAGGGTCTGAAGTTGGAGCCCAGTTTGATGCGATGCTGTCACATCCCCTGTGGAGGTTCCCCCCTTGACTATTCCGTCAACATCAGCAACAAACTTCAACTTGACATCCGTCGTCACATCAAAAAATACTACTCTGTGAGTATTTCTGTGTTTCTATGCCAGTTTGCCTGTTATTGTGAGGTTTTGATAAATGCAGCAGATCCTGACAAAAAAAAAAATACACTCAAAATTATGCACACTAAAGCACACAAAAACATTCATACAGTTAGTTTTCCTTCAGTATGTAATGCTGCAGCCTTTCAGACAACACAGATAGCCTGCTGATAATCTGTTTTCCAAATTTTTAAACCCTTTTCTCATCATCTATCTGTACTGTAGATGTAAAAGGAGGATATCTTTAGTCCATAAAAGCTACATTTAGGCTTGCTAAGCATTGTAATTGTTGCATACCACTATCTGTCAACACATTCCTAAAGAAATTAAATTAATGCTTCGGCTGACAAAATACAAGCTCAAGCTCAGAGAAGCAGAGCTGTGTATAATGAAATAGTCAAAACCTGTGAAAATTGACCTTCCACAAAGTGTCTGTGAAAGGGTTGGACTGTATTTAACACAATGGGGGATGCAACAGATGCAGTAATGTTAAAAAGATGTTGGACAAAAGATGAAGGAAACCTCAGCAGGGCACTGCGCTGACATTTTCAACCAAAGAGCACACTATGTGTGCAGAATGAAAAGAGCTCCATAAAGATTTGTAGGAGCATGATCCATGAAAATACTTAAATGGCCATTCTTGCTTTGAATACCAAGTTTAACATACTCATGCTGTCGTTTTAGATTATGAGGTGAAATTTAAATGAGACATCAGGGGAACTGTGCCATTAACTTATCAGTAAAAACTGACAATGCAATAAATCGAACATATCTGCCTTTAAAGATCAAGCCAATTTGTCTCTTTGTGAGGCAAATTACTGAGAATGTTGGATGATAAGCTTTACAGGGTGAATCATTTTTTGCAGTTTGACACATGGACAGGTTGTATTGCCTGCAGCATATTTGCAAGATGTGAAAGTATGGACCATCAGTTCTCTACACAGGGTTTTTCTGGAATTATTGGTGATGTCCAAAGAGATTTTAGCTACCCCTGAAAGAAGCGTTTCATATTTATATACTTTCAGATGTATAGACATGTTATCAAATATATGTGGAATATGCATTCATGCATGAATTTATTCAAAGCTGCCACTATTGATTCTTATTAACCAACTGATCATTTTACTTAAATTGATAAGTCAATTTATATACCCAAATAAATACTTATCAGATAGAGATAGAGGCACGACTGTTAGATTTCTACTGTACGTTTGCTACACCTCACCTGAAGTCATTACATAAAAGCATGGACCATTATCTCACAGTGTGCTGACATATGGGAACACTGGACGAACCAACAATATACCCAGGGTTTTCACCTGGCGTGCCAAACCGAAGTTGACCCCAGCCCGCCCCTAAGCATCAGACACACAGGTTTTTTTGAACGACTTACGATAGGATGGAGTTGTTGGAAACTGGAAAGCTTACCAGTGACATCTAACATTTGCAGTTCTTATTGAGTCAACATTAACTCAGCCTTGGGTTGACAAAGTTCAACTGGTGAGCACTTTTTTCTCAGGAAGTTATCAGAGAAACGATAGGACACTGCAATCAGTGTGTCACTGGCCCACGTTGATGATCATCTGCTAAAAATGGATTGCTGTCTGCGTGACCACACACTGCTTGTTAAAGCTCTGTTGCCCCGTTTATATACATCAGCTGCTTGTTTGCGTCAAATAGTCCTAATGCTTGTGCAATTATCCCCATGACTCTGCTCTATGCCTTACGTTGTAGCCAATCCAGCTATTTTTACAGTTGAAATAAGGACCGATACAATGCAATAAGGCAGTTTTCCACTTGTCAGAAAGTGATGGCAGCCCCCAGGTTGTCACTTAATGTTATTAATGCATCAAAAAGACTTAACTGTATTCATAGGGGTTATATTTAAAAAGGTTTAGCCAATGAGATAATTGCAAATGAGAATGTTTCTTTATTTCATATATAAAATGCATTTGTAAATTATATATTACAGTTTAGTTCCATATATAAACAAGGTCATTACACCTTTATACATACAGCATAAACATTATTGCCTATAATGTAATGCCTGATTATGATATAAACTACAAACATTTTTTTGGTTACAATTATTCAGTTACAAGAAAACACTGACGTTTTACAGAGACTTACCTTTGCTATGACCGCCCACATAAAGTTCTGTGTATTTACAACAATATTCGCCTATTCAGTTTTTACCAGATCTGTGTGTCTCTTTACCTGTCCTCTCTACGCCTGTCATTTATGCTGTGAATGAGAGCGTGCTGCGTTGCATGTTCCAGGACTGTGACTGGTCCCAGCTGCTGGATTTAACAACTTCTCAACATAAAGCAGGCAGCAAATCACACAAGCACACACATATTGCTCAAGAGTGCACAACAAGCATCTTGACTGTCTTTAGTAAATAGCACGGGCTGAAAACAACCTCAAGCTGATAGCTATAAACAGTCACTGAGTAATTGTGAGGTTTCTAATCCAAATTAGGGATTATTTGTGTCTTATGCGATAGACTATTCAGCTGTCAAAATATTCATAACGTGCAATCCTAATAGATACTGAGAAAGTAATGTCCAGTGTACCTGCTGAGGGTTTTGTGTTACTTCTCTGTTGTTTTCCAAAGTTGCCCATGCAGTGTCACTCTGATTTGTGTTGCTACAGTATCACACCCTGATATCCACAGACTGATAGATTCCTTTTGGACACAGTAGAGACAACAGTGCAGAGGTCTGGTTGCCACTGTACTCAGCCCACAGCCTGAGAGTGAATTAAACTGGATGCCTGTGTTGTCTTTGTAGAAGACTCTCTCTCTCTCTCTCTCTCTCTCTCTCTGTCTCTCTTCCTCTATCCCGGTAGCTTCCAACACCTTCGTCTTCAGCGAGTGGAATGCACTGTCTGTAAAAGTGTGTGTGCGTGGGGGGGTAACTCTCCCACAGTGCTGAACAGAAATCAATTAGTGCGGTGAATGTGTGGGGAGCGAGTCCCCCTCAGCCCCTTTGTCATGATGTGTGAAACAGCTGCTACCACTGAATACTTACACGTCACACAGCAACACACACACACACACACACACACGCACACACACACACACACCACTGTAGGCTGAACAGCAGTGGACTCTGCACACACAGCGGGGCAATGAAGAGGGGTAATATTGTGTAATTAAGGATTCCTTTCAGGCCGAGGGAGAGTTCAAATAGAGCTGTTTGTCTGGCCAGATAGAGTGAAAGCTCTGTACCTCTGTGTGTGTGTGTGTGTGTGTGTGTAGGTGTGTGTATGTGTGCAGATGAATATACGTACATGTGTGTTGGCGTCTTGAGCTAGGACCACAGAGACATTAATCATTAGTGAAATTACCTCCTGCCCCCCAAACCACCCCTCATCCCCGCGATTATCAATAAACCTGCACCCTGAGAATGGGCAAACACTTGTTCACACACACACACACACACACAGACACACACACTGTTGTCATCCTTCCCTCCTCTCGTCCCGCTGTCTTTGGCAAAATGAGAGATTCAGTTGTTTCCTGAAACACCCAATTCTTCTTTTCCTTTTTTTTTTTTATATATAAACCCCTCCCATCTAACCACCGTTGCCATGGCATTTAACAAATTATTGCAATTACCCTCGTCATGCGGGTCGCCCCTGGAAACGGGCTGAGGGGCAAGAGAAGAAAGGGGGAGGGAGAGAGAGAAAGGGTGAATGAAGACCAGAGAAGGTGATAATCCTGTTTTGAACAAAAGGTCAAATTGTTGAATAGAGAAGCTTTGATTAAGCGGAGGAGGTACAAAGTGGAACCGTTTGAGCTCTATTCAGTGTGTGTGTCTGTGTGAAGGGAGTGCGTGTTTGTGAAGTAGACCGATTTTTAGGTCCATTCACTTTAGAGCTGGAAGTGTTGACTGCTGGAGCACCAAAACCAGCTAGAGGTCTTGTGTGGCGCTGCTGTGTGCGAGTGTGGCAGGTGGATTCCTCTGCTACAGGAGTCATGTCAGAGTGGATTCTCTAATGTGGTACAAAAGAGCTCAAATGATTCATCAGTTAATCAATTATTTTGATCGATAAAGCAATATTTCTAAGTAGTTTTCTAAGATTTTTAACTTTTTTCGCTGTTAATCACACAAAGCAAACAGTTTGAGCTGAGATTTGAGCAGTTTATAAACTATTGCTGCAACTAATTCTGATTTTAATCATTGTGAAGTCTTTTGATTCCTCTGTTGACATATTTATCAAATATCAATGATGAAAATATACCTTTACAAGTTCCTGTAATCCAAGCTGATGAGAAACGAACATGTTCAGTTTTGCAATGATCTAAAACAGAACACAAGAGCAGGAAAGTGATAAATGCATATCTGCTCCTGGCACAAAACCACCAATTTGAAGACTTTTCTGGTACTTTATAGAGCAGTTAATCCACTTATTGGTTCAAGTTATCAGCAGATTAACCAATACTTAAAAACTATCATCAGCTGCAGCCATAATTAACAATACAGGACCCTCAACTAAAATTACCAAACACAGAAAGCGTGAATAAAGGGAAGGAGGTTCAGACTGAGGCTGCGACTAATAGTTATTGTCATTAGCAGTTAATATGTCCATTATTGATTAGTGAATGTTGTAGTCATTTGAGTGTCAGGGAGAAAAAAAGTAAAAATACCCATCACAAGTTCCTAGAAGTCTTTGAATTGCTTCTTCTGTCAGATTAAAAGTCCAAAGTGAATGTTTTGCTTGACAAATGACTGACCTGACCTTGAAAACAGACAGGTGACACATGAAAGAGGGAACGTGAACCCTTGAGCCCTGCATTGAGGAGTTCTGGTGGCTCTGTTGTCCTGTTAGGGGCATTCTGCTGGCATGGTTTGGGTCCAATTTTCCATTAAAAGGAAGGGTGCCTGTAAATCAATACAAACCTTTATCCTATGATGGAACATTTCTCCTTCGATGGGAGTGGTCTCTTCTCTGATGATAATGCCCCCATCCATAGG